TGACCCCTTGCAGAAGATAGCAAGAATGTATATCCGAGAGATTGTCAGGTTACATGGAGTACTAGTGACAGTAGTGTTCGACAGGGACTCCAGGTTCACTTCTCGGTTATGGTCTAGTTTGCAGCAAACTATGGGAACGAAACTGTTTGTTAGTTCTGCACTCCACCCTTAGATCTATGGATAGTCAGAAAAGACGAACCGCACACTTGAGGATATGCTTCGAACTTGTGTTCTTGACTTTGGAGACCATTGGGATGATCATTTAACCCTGATAGAGTTCGTTTACAACAACAGCTACCAAACAAGTATTGACATGGCTTTGTACGAGGCGTTGTATAGCCAACCATGCAGATCGCTGATATGTTGGGAAGAAATGGGTGATAGAAAACTATTCGGTCCAGATCTCGTAAAGGAGACTACAGCTAAAACAGTTAAGATCAAGAAGAACATTCAGACTGCTCAGAGCAGGCAGAAGAGTTATGCGAATACCTGGAGAAGAAATTTAGAATTTGAGAAGGGTGATCGGGTGTTCCTTAAGATCATTCATTTCAAAAGAATCAGTAGGTTTGGCAAGAGAGAAAAACTAAATTTTCGATTCATTAGGCCATTTGAAATTTTAGACAAAATTGACACCGCCACCTACAGGCTGGCACTGCCTCCAGAATTATACAGGGTCTATAATGTATTCCATGTGTCTATATTATGCAAGTACAACCCGGACCCCTCTCACGTCTTGGCCCACGAGCCCCTTTCACTTTAAGAGGACCTGTCATACGAGGAAGTACCGGTCGGTATTGTGGGCCAAAAGAGCAAAGTATTCCGCAACTGAAAAATTCTCTTTGTTAAGATCCGATGACAAAATCACACACCGGGATAGGCCACATGGGAGCTAGAATCAGATTTCAGAGTCCAATATCCCCAATTATTTGATTGAGTGGGAGAGAGACAAATTTGAGGGACCAAATTTCTTTTAAAGGGGAGAAGAGTTGTAATACATTTAATTAATTTTAATATGCTAAAATTAATGTATAAATATAATTTTTTGAATTTTTGAATTTTTATTTAATGTATAAAATTTAATTTTTAATTTTATAAATTATTATTTAATGTAAAATTAGGAAAAAATAGGTGGATGATGAAATTGAAAATAATTTTGGGAGAAATGGGTGAAAATTTGAGTTCTATGGGTGCTTTTGAAAGAAAAATCAGAAACTAAGGGTCAAAACGTAATTTAAAAAAATTATGCCACGTAAGACACCCAGTCAGTAGCTCCGATGAACTGCAGCGCGTCACATGGCAAGGCGCGCTGATGCGGTGCCACGCTGGCAATCGACAGTCTGGATTTGTTCTCGCGCACACAGACGGTCTGGATCCATTCCCTCCTCAGACGCGATCGAGTGGTCACGATTAAACGCGATGGATGGTTCAAATTCACTTCCTATTTAAACGCGATTGGATGGCCCAGATCAAATTGCGATGAACGGTCCAAATTCATTTCCTATTTAAACGTGATCGGACGGTCTAGATTGAATGCGATGGACGGCCCAGATTAAAAGGAGATGGATATAAATACCCCTTTTTACACCAAACCCTAACCCTAGCTGCTAGAACCCCCCCCGCCGGATAAGAAGAGCTAGCTGCCGGGAAGTGAGCTGTTCGCCGTCGCGCCGGAGCCACTTCCGACTGCCAAAAGAGGTAAAATTTTTCCAATTTGTTCGAAATTAAATTTTGAACACCTCATGGTCAAATCAGAGCAAAAGGATTAGCAGATGAGTCAAAAACTGCGGGTAAAGTCCAGCGGCACCACTGCGAGAAAAAGCAAAAATTCTCATTAGATAAGGCCCTTCCCGATTCCCGTTTCGTATAATTTTTCCACCATTATAATCACCATTCCTTTTTCAATAGGTTGACCGAAGCAAAACACTCAACTTCGAAGGTGAACTGGCAGAGTCGCCGTACCGGAGAATCCCACTGCTGGTAAGCTTCAGTGTTTCGATTTTTTTCGTCCAACCGAGGCCCCTTAACGTGTTTTCTCGCAGGGATTGGTATAAAATCGGCCGAATTCAGTAAAAAATAGCTAATCCGAGAAAATTTACCGCCGTGGGCGGCGGTGCCGTCGCCAGAGCACGACGAAGCCACTGTGCCGAAATTTCAGAATTGACCAAAAAGGTGTTCCTAACATTGATTTGGGTTTTTTGGAGTATTTTTAGGTACTTGAAGCGCGTTTTAATCCCCGAAAAAAATTCAGGAGACCCGAAGACCGGTAGTAGACACAGTCAAAAGTTAGCATTTTAGACATCAATTTGAGTAAGAATTCCTCACCTTATTCCCTATTATCGAATTGAAGTTTAATTTTAGATAATATGATATTTTGTGAAACCTAAGAAATATTCATAATTAATTACAGATTATTAGTGGAGCCAGAACTGGTTATTTATTACTGTTTTGTATGTTTAACTGATTGCCTGATTTTATAGTTTCTCGAATGCATAATAATACGCTAGAATTGGTATGATGATGCGATTGTGTTTTTCTTGATGCATATATTGCTTGTTTTATGTGATTACGATTAAATTTGAAAATTAAAAATTAAAGGTAAATGAAAAATTATTTAATTGAGTAGATGGATGAACGATAGCCTTACTGGATATCTTGGGATATGGTGGATGGACCGGGCACAAAGAAAATCCTACCGTGAATGTTGCCTCATACGGGACGAGGTATCAAGAATTGGTAATTTGGCGCTCATACCAGACGGGGTATGGGGACGACTTGTTTCACCCTCATACCGGACGAGATATTGAGAGATGATATCTTTTGGCGCTTATACCGGACAGGGTATGAGGACGACCCATTATTTGAAAATATTGAATAAAGATTCACATGTAGTGGAGATATCCCTATGGACCCCCATGGATACCAGTAGGTTGATAAAAGAGAAAAGTTATTGTCTCGACTGATTGCATATGAGATTATGGTATTTTTATCTTCTTGACTCTATAGGTTGGTTTTGAAAATCTTGCTACGGTAAGCATGCGGTAAATAATTTTATTTATGATAAACGAATTTTACTTAAATTAAGAGCTCTATTAGTTGTTTTTATAATTTCTACCAACTTTTATTTCTGTGTTAGTGAGTAGCGTGACATTCTTCAGATCAAGAAGATTAGGATCTAGAGCTCAATCTACAAGAGGGTTGCAAATAGGATGCCCAGTTATTTATTTTCTGTTTATTCCTTTGATTTTTTGTTATTTCTTTTACAAAAGTTATTCTCGTAGCCTTATTGAAAAATCTGAATTATTGTGTAAGAAATGTAACCCTAACTATCTATTTTACTTTCGCATTCAATTCATAATTTATTTCCTTTATAGTTTACGAGTCGTTACAATTTAGTTATTCGCTTTTCACTTTATTTCTTTAATTTCTATTTGTATTTTAGAAGAGATATTTTCGTTACCCTATTGGACATTTAAAATCATTGTGTAAAGAATGTAAACTCTAACTTTATTACTCACTTCCGCATTTAATTTATGAATTTATTTTTCTTAAGTTCCGAGTCTCTACATATCAGATCATAGATGATTCATCATACTATATAGTGACATATACCCATTTGTATTGAAACTTATATATTTTGGCTAAGTGGACATTTGGACATGATGTAACTTATGCTATGAGTCTTAAAAGTGCTGTTAAAATAATTATTGATTAATAATATTTTTATTTAAAAATTATTTAATATTTAGAAAAAATAATTTTAGAGTATGTTGTCATTTAAAAAAATAAAAATTTTATGTTTCTCAATTTTTTAAATGTTAAGTGTAAATTTTTAATAAAAACTAAAATTATTTTTTAAAAGTCACATATTAAATTTTGACTTCAAACCTACTAAAAGTAAATTTTCACTATAATTATTGTCAACAATACTTTATATTTTAATTATAAAAATATTTTTAAAATGTAAAAGTGAAAGTCTAAAATTTGCACAAAAAATAATTTAAAGGCATTATAAATATATATATATATTTGGGTTTTAAAATGTTTATGGTCACATACGACCAATATCAACAAAATTTAATTAATCAAATTAGTTAATACATAAAATGTATAAAAATTTGAAATCAATCTACATTCATAAAATTTTAAAAATTTGAAGGGGACCATCTATCGCATAGACACCTGTACTCCACGAAAAACCCAGCACCGACTACCCCCGCATCAGTACCAATCACATTCTTATAATAGAATTTTTATATAAAGTTCAATTTCATAATAAATTATTAAATTATGTTTGAATTATTTTCAAAATAATTATATTAATTAAATTAATAAATTTAAAATAATAAAAATATTATTTTACTAATTTAATTAATTAATTAAAATTATTTCTTAAATATTTTTACAGCACACAAATATAATCTAATCATTTTAAAATATTTTTGACAAAAAATTAGAAAAAAATTGAGTACTTCAAATAAATAAATAAAATTAAAAATTAAATTGACAAAAAAAAATATTATGGACTAAACAATTATGTTCATCTTGTTTGGTATTGAATTTTCTACATTTAATGCAAATCCAAACGACAAATAAGAAATAATATTTTCAAACAACTTTAGACCTCATATGTATACATACATATATATATATATATATTTATTTATTTATATGTGCAACTGGTAAATAATATTTATGGACAAATGATTTACAAGAAATGATATATTCAAACATAATTTTGAACTTTTGACATTTAAATAATTAGTGATATAATATTAAATTTGTATTTGTAATTATTAAAATCTCATAATTAAAATTCTGTTTCTTGGAATTCTCTTTTAACTTTCAAAAAGTGGTAAGTGTTTGTTGGTTTGTGCAGCCACCATCTTTTGTCTTTCTCATTTTTTATGTTTGGTTGTGGGACATTTCTTATCCTTTTCTTCATGTCCAGTTTGTACTGCTATCTATATATGCAAAAATATATTTGTGTGTATAAAGACAGAGAGAAGAGAGCTCTGAAGATTCAAATCAAATTATTGAAGATGGATGTTGCAAGTGTTCTCTGTATGAATCCTCTGGGAGATGGGAAGAAGAGCTACGCCAATAATTCTCTTCTCCAAGTCTCTTTCTTTTTTTTTCATCATCTAATTAATATGTACATATACATACATATATATATATATATATATGCATGTCTATGTAATAACATTTCATACTTCTGTGGGTTTAATATTTCAGAGAATAATCATATCAAAATCCAAGCCATTTCTAGTAGAAACCATAAGCAATATGGTAAGGCCGATGAGGAGTAAGAGCAGTGTTAATGGCAGTTGGCCGGCTTGTTTTAGAGTTGCAGACTTGGGTTGCTCGTCGGGACCCAATACATTGCAGGTGATCTCAGAGATTATTAACACCATTAGTGACGAGATCAACTGCGACCAGCACCAAGATGATGGCGATCATCATGATCCTGAAATCCAAGTCTTCCTAAACGACCTTCCTACCAATGATTTCAACAGCATTTTGAAAGAAGTTCCCGCATTTTATAATCAACATGATAAAAATAAGCTTCGGTGTTTTGTATCGACTGTGGCTGGTTCTTTCTATGGCAGACTGTTTCCCAAGGAGAGTCTTGATTTTGTACATTCTTCTACCAGTCTTCAGTGGCTCTCCAAGGCAAGTTTTTATTACTTTCACATATATATAAACATACACATATATATCATACATTTATAGTGAAAGGCTCGGTGCCCTTTATTAGGGATCGTATCCCGTTTTATAGGGTAATGACCATAGTATATTTATTTAAATTATATGAACTCGAGTTAAGTAAAATAACTTAATTTTATTAATCATAGTATAGTTGTAGAAACGTTGCATCCCTTACATATAAAATATCTATATATATATATAAGATTCTAAATTTCTTTACTTACATTACCAAATAAAAGTACGAAATAATAATATTAATATCATAGTTTAGCTTCAAAAACTTTCTCCGTATCACCGCTCACTCTGCATCGATATTTTCGGTATCTAAAGAGTGATAAGAGGGTGAATTAAAATATCCCAATAAATGATATTATGAAATCACAACATAATACATGCAATATATAGTTTCTATACATACAACAAAATATGTATCATATAATCTTTCTAAAATAAATATGAATCATAAGATGAATGCAAAAATTAGAAAATAGATTCACAATTACTTCGTTATATACTTCTCACTGTTATGAAAGATCAATCAGTTACCATACATTATGCGTAGGCACATA